AGGTTGGCCCAGGATCGGGCACTGTTTAGTTCTGCTGTGCATAGGGTTGCTATGAGTCGGCACTGACTCGATGGTACCTAACAACAACAAGAAGCTTATAGTAATAAACACACAATCATTAAAAAAAATAAAAGAAAGGACAACCACAAGTATAGTTTGTCGTAATTTGAATACATTGTAAGTGGGAGATTACCTGTATTTCAGACAAAGGAAATTTAATACAGGAATCGTCTTCTTATTTTTTATGCAACTGAGAAACAAAGTGCAGCCACTCAGAGTCAGCGTTAGCGGGAAGGTGCTGTTGCCCCCAAGACTGGAGGTGTAGACAGAATGGGGGGTGTTCCACCTGGCAGGAGCTGGAGCCGGAGCCACAGAAGAGATGTGGCGGCTGGAGATGTCTCCATGCAGAAAGAAGGGGGCAAATACCTGGCGTCTCTCTTCTTCCCACACTCGCATCTCCCTTCACTGCCTTCACTGGCCAAACCTGGCATGTGAAAGCTGAACATTGAATAAGGAAGACCGGAAACGAATTGATGCCTTTGAATATTGAAAGTCCCATGGACTGCCAGAAGAACGAACAAGTCTGACTTGGAAGAAGTACAAGCGTTAAGTTCCTTAGAAGGGAAGCTGGTGAGACTTGGTGTCATGTACTTTGACCATGTTATCAGGAGGGCCCAGTCTCTGAAGATAGAGAGAGGGTCAGCGCAAAAAGAGGAAGACCCTCAATGAGATGAACTGAGACCTTGGCTGCAAGAAAGAGCTCAAGCATGGCAGTGACTTAGGATGGTGCAGGATGAGGCAGTGTAGGGTCGCTGTGAGTCAGAACCAGCTTGAAAGGAATGATGTGCTAAACTGAGTACTTGTCGTGTCTTCATCCAACAGCACTAGATTGTGTGAGAGCTCTGTTTACAGACCAGGAGGGGTACTGGGTGGAGGTCAGCCCGCCCAGAAGACTAACGCAGCCGTGTGGGGCAGAGGTTGTCAGGCCTGAGAGAATGTGGTGGGCATTGTGTTCTACAGGGAGAGGAAGGGGTCGAGATGTCCCCCAGCTACTGACTTATAAGTAGCAGTCCCTGGTCCCTTTGAAGCAGTGACAAAGATAGTAGGTCACTCAGTTCCACTGGACCTCAGCATCCTGGTCTGTAACGTAAAGGAGTAGCTGTCCCCCAAGGCAATACAACCAGAATGCTCCTAAGAAGCGAATATGGTGCAGCTTGGTTATCAGGAAATATCAGTGACTTGAAAGGACAGCAGGGGTCCTAATGTCACAGTGGGCTAAGCACTGGGCTGTGAACCTCAAGGTTGGCAGTTCAAATCCACCAGCTGCTATGCAGGAGAACGATGAGACTGTCTACCCCATAAAGATTTACAGCTTCAGGAATCCTAGAGAGCAGTTCTAGTCTGACCATGAGTTGTAGTGGACTTGACATCATGTTTTGCAAAATAGGAGGTCAGTGAAGATGACCAGTGGCTGCAGTGATGGACTTAACCCTGACCAAGAAGACACAGGATGGACAGCACTGTGTTCTACATGACATAAGGTCGCCATGAGGCAGAACTGACGCATACGGTCACTGATCTATAGTGCTATGATTGAATGACCCTGTTGAGGAGTTTATACTGTAGTGATTTTTAATGTATCTGAGTATATTCTTGTCACTTATATGAAGGGCAGGTAAAACATTGCTAGCAGAGTTCACTTGATACATGCACGGGTTTATTCCAAATCAAATGTGTTTCAGCAGGTCTCTAACCATCAGCAGATGGCTGCAGACAAGTTCTTTCAAGAACTCATTCTGTGCCTTCAAAAAAAAAAAGGTCCAGTCAAAGCAGTGGCTTCCAAGGGGACCAGCTGGGCCAGTTCTTTTCAAGGCAGAGAGGTCAGCTCAGGAGGTCATGTGATTCCAAAGGATTTTCTTGAAGGCCGATCATGGAGACCTATTAGGAAGAAGTCTTAAGAAAATTGAAACCCCCATTGATGAGAAAATGGTCAGGAAAGTTGTGCTGAGAGAGTTTTTCCATCACAAGGTACCTGCTCATTCTTCAAGGATAGCAAAGGCTGTCCCTAAGAGAATTTCAACGGGAAACCTTACCCATCCATCATCCTACAGCCCGGATTTTGACCTTTAAGACTTCTTCCCCCCACCCCCCCAACTCACTGAAGGGGACTCCTGGTGTGATGCTGTAGGATCAGCACTAGACTGTGAACCACAAGGTCGACAGTTCAAACCTACCAGCTGCTCCTCGGAAACCCTATACAGGGTCACTATGAGTTGGAGCTGACTCGACAACACTTAACAACAAAGGCTCAGTGAAACAGTCCTGGTGTGGTACTGTAGGACAAGCACAGGACTGTTAACTGCCAGGTTTGTGGTTCAACCTACCAGTTGCTCTTTGGAAACCCTATACAGACAGGGTCGCAATGAGTCAGAACCAACTCGACAGCACTTAAAAACAACAGTTGAAATGAAGGCGTCTTGGGGTGGTACTGTAGGACAAGCACAGGACTGTTAGCTGCAAGGTTGGTGGTTCAAACCCACCAGGTACTCCTTGGAAACCCTATACAGGATCGCCATGCATCAGAACTGACTTGATGGCACATAGCAACAACTCAATGAATGTTTAAAAGGAATATGATTTGTATCATTGAGGATGAATATGGCATAAATCTAAGAGTGCAGAATTCAGCAGGGGATATAGAGAGATGGAAACACCACATTCAGAAAGGTATAGACCAAGATGGAGGATATGTTGAGAACCAATAGTGATATTTTGGTTTAATAAAGGTTTCTATGATTTTTGTAACAATACTTTTTTTTTTTTTTTTGCTTTTGTACACTTAACATACTCTCGTACATAGTGTATCTTAATTTCAAATTCAAGTACACATTCTTATTTTAAAACTACTGGTCATAGTTGTTTTCAGAGAACTCTCAGTACTGAAAGAAACGTTCCATTCCGAAGTTCTTACACACATACCCCACCAGTTCAACTTGAAGGCAGCATCTTTCACAATCTTTCCACCAAGAATTCTTTCTTGTAATTCTGTTCATAATGGTTCTGGCAGAGCCCCCACGATTTATAAGACTTGCTACAAAAACCACGGCTAGAGTTGCGGCCCTTGTCGGTTATTAGAAGTCAAAGTATGAGTTCTAAATAATGCAAGTGGGGACGTTACTCAGAAATTCCAGGAAAAGCTTCCTTTCTTCCCATGATTTTCAGTTTCATTCTAAGCAGCACACACAATCTTGTCGTTCATTTGCATGAACTAAGTGGTAAGTCACCAGTCTAGTTGAAAAAATCCCATTGTTCCAGTTAGGAACTTAGGTTTTCTGCAATTCTTTTACTGAGTCTGTATCCTACACCTTTAATTATATATGCTTTTAAAAGTCCTATAAAAATATAAACGTCTTCACCCTATAAAAATATTTTTCAAAAAATTGCCATTGAATCAATTCCGACTCAGCGTTCCTGTAGCCCCAAAGGGTTTTCAAATCCATACACTGCCACAACTTTCTTCCCTGGAGCTGTTGGTGGGATCAAACCACTGACCTTTTGGTTAGCAGCCAGGTATGTTTAACCTTTCCACCACCTGGGCATAAAGACCTCCTGGTTCTTTCATGTTATAAGGTGTGTCACAGATTCATCTTTATTCTTTAACATTGCCTAGTGCCCCATCAGGAAGTCCTGGGGTGGCGCTGTGGGTTAATGCGCCAGACTGCAAAGCTGTTTGAACTACAAGGTCAGTGGTTCAAGCTCACCAGCTGCTCCTCAGAAACTTTATATAGGGTCGCTATGGGTTACAACTGACTCGACGGCACTTACCAACAACAACAACATAAATTGTGTGATATGTCATTACCAAAAATTATTTTCCATTTTACTCATTGTTGTAGTCTTTTGGTGAAATCCTTTGATGCACAAAAATGTCTCATTTTTAGGAGGTGTTTGCAGATTCATAGTCATTCTTTGATAGTATTCCGGGGCATATGTGTGTGTGTGTGTGTGTGTGTGTGTGTGTACCTACGTTTGTTTATCCACTCTTCCACTGATGGGCATTCAGGCTGCCTCCATCTTTTTTCTGTTGGGAGTAGGTCCTGTGATAAACATGGAGTCCTAAATCTACTTGTGTCTTGGCTCCTATGGATATACACCAAGTAGCGGGATTGCTGGGTCAGACGCTATGATTTCCATCTTTTTGAGGAAGTGCTGCATCATTTTCCATAGTGGTTGTACCATTTTGCATTGCCAGAAGCAGTGTCAGAGGGTCCTGGTTTCTCCACGCCATCGCCAGCATTTGCTGTTTCCTGTTTTTGTTTATTATCTCGTTCTTGATTTTGCATTGCAGCGTTTGATCCATCTTGAGTTTGATTTGCTCTCAGAAAGACTGACGACAGTTCTACTCTGACCTATAGGATTGCCGTGAGTCCGGATCGACTCAGTGGGTGTGGTTTGGTTTTTAACTTGATCAACGGCACTGTGGGTCATCAGGGAGCTCTGATACCAAAATGGGTTAAGCGTTGTACTGCTGAATGTAAGGTTCGGGGTTCCAGTTCACTAGTTGCTCCGGGGGAGAAAGGTGAGCAGGCTGTTTTCTCGGAAGCCCTATGAGGGGGTTCTCTACCATGCTGGGGTGTTACAAGTCAGATTCCACTCGATAACTGTGGGTTAGGTTTGGAGATGATGGGGCCATGCCTTTCTCTCTTTGCAGCCATTAAGCAAAACTATTAACGTCTGTCTCTGCTAACTCCTTTTTTTGTGTTCTTGGTGCAGGCAGTGGTAACAACGGACAAGCTCCATGTGCCCAGCGGTGGTGGCAGCTGGACAGACAGCGACCTCAAAGGTGAAGTGCTGGGGTCGGCTGACCGAGACGTGAGCATGGCTCTGAGTCTTGGTGCCCCTCAGCCCCAGGACTCCAGCCCCAAGAGCATCATGATGACCCAGAATGGCCACGGAGCCGCTGTCACCGAACCCACGGACCTTAGGACGGTGACTCCGCCAATGTGCCAGAACGGGGTCTGGAGCGGTGGCGACACCAACACCCACGAGGCCAAGCTGAGCCCTTCCAAACTCGGGCGCTTTTTCTCCATGAGCAGGAAGCGGTTGAACGCCAGTGCCACGGCGAGGCCACCGGCCGTGGGCCTGGCCGGGACCTCGTCCACCTGGAACGCCCTGGCCTCCTTTCGGAAGATGGGCTCTTTCAAAAAACTGAGGTCCTCTGTTCTCCAGGGGATTCAGAGCCGAGAAGCATCAGGCACCTCAAAGAAAGAGATCTCAGAAAAGGACCCGGAAAAACCCCTCCCGAACGGCGTGGTCACCAGCCTTCAGACCAGCAGATACTCTTGTTTGGGGCGCGTGGGGGTCCCCCAGGAGGCTGGTGCCGGTGTACCCTCAGACTGCTCGGATCTGGAGGAGGCGGACGATGCCTTCCAGAGGAGCACCCATCGATCTCGCAGCATCCGCAGAGCCTATGGACTGGGCCGCATCAGCCTGCTGGACCGTGAGACACATCAGGATGCGCAGAGCCCCCTCCGGCCCCTGTCCTCCTTCATCCCAGAGCCCAAGCTATGTGAGATCCTCGTGAAAGACTCTGCAAACGGCCGCCTCGTCTACCGCAGAAGCAAGAGCACAGACAACCTGAACTTCCTAAAGAAAAGCTCCTTTAAGCGGAAGTCCACCTCCAACCTCGCGGAGCTCAAGGTGGCTCAGGAGAAGCTTGTACCTGTGCGGACTCTGAGCAGCTCGTCCACAGACTCGGAGAAGCTCGGGGGCTCCGAGAGAAGGACGAAGCGCTGGCGGAGTCCCCTCCGGGCCAAGGACTTCGACAGAGTCTTAAAGTTGGTCAGCAACGTCACAGATGCCCCGTGGAAGAGGGAGAGCCCCAAAAGCGGGACCCCCTCTCCCGGCGACCCTAACCCCAGGCTGCAAGTCAACAGCAGGCTGCACGATCAGTATTCCCGGCGGACGTCCACCAACTCCGAGGTGGACAAGAGACGCTGCATGCCCTGCACGGTGGCCCCCAGCTCCTGTCCAGCTGCTTCTCAGGGTCCCCACATGGACATTGAGACGGCCGTGTGTCCCCTGGAATCTCGAAGCTCCGAGGCATCAGAAAGCGCACGGGCCTGCCCTGGCCAACCCTTACCGAGTCCTACTGGCCAGGTAGTGCCCCGCAGAGACACGGGTGACTTGTCGCCCCCCGGCCAGTCCACATGCGAGTCTGAGCAACCTGTCAGCCCCCTGCGGCCCACCACACCCAAGCCCCCGAGTCCCCAGAGCCCAGGCCCAGGCAGTTTGGGTGGGCTGAACCATCACAGTGCGCTGTCGCTGAGTTCCGGGCAGAGTGGAGAGAGTGCGGAAGGATCAGTTCTGCAGGAGCCGGGCGCGGGCTCCTTCCCGGATGTGCTGCAGTCCCCGGATGTGGGCGAGGGCACTGGGGACAGCGGTATTAGCAGCTTCTCTCAGCTGAGCCTCGCTGGGACCCCCGGGTCGACCGAGACGAAGGAGGAGGTGAGGAAAGGGCAAGGGGCAAGGAGTACTCATAGGCAGTTCCTGTGAGGTGGTGGTTATGGTCCCAAACTCCACCCAGTCCTTAGCTGCCCTGTAGGGCTCTGGTAGGAGAAGTGCCCCCTTAGAATATCTGAGTCTGGAAGGAGCAGGCTCATCTTTCTCCCATGGGGTAGCTGGTGGTGAGCAGCCCAATGCCAAACCCACTGTTCCTGTGGTCTCCATGTGCCCGAGTGTCGCTGTTGTACAATGGTGCAACCACTATGGAAAATGGTCTGATGCTTCCTCAAAAAATTAGAAACAGAAATACCATTTGGCCCAGCAATCCCTCTGCTTGGTATATATCCCAGAGAAATAAGAGCTGCAACACAAATCCATCTCTATAAACCCTGTTCACTGCAGCAGTGTTCCCAGTAGCAAAACAGTGTGAACAACCAAAATACCCATCTGTGAAAGAGTAGGTGAGCAAACAGGGAGTCCGAGAAACAAGAACTTCATGTGGGGCAGTTTCCAGGTCTCCCTGTTTGTGGGTCTAGGTTGGCATGGAGGCTTTGGGCTAGGCTGAGACTTAGCAGAGACAACCTGACTTCAGAGGTCTTGTAGCTAATGACCGGACAGTCACTTGTTTGCCTGCTGTGTAAGAAACCTTGTGGAGTGGTGGTAAGGACAGAAACTGAGAGCCGGTGTGGGGAAGAGCTCCCCTTCCACTGGCTCTGAATGGGCCTCGCTGCCTTTCTGGATAAAGAGGGACTGGGTGTGATGAACTATTGATATTTCTTCCACTTAATACATATCCAAGGACCCTGGTAGCGCTGTGTGTTAGGTGTTGGGCTTGTAGCCACAGTTGGCGGTTCAAACCCACCAGTCACTCCACAGGAGAAAGATGAGGCATCTGAGCCTATAAAGATTTGTTGTGGTTGTGTGCCGTGGAGTTGATTCTGACTCGTAGCGACTCTTTGTAAGAGTTTCCAAGAGCAGCTGCTGGGTTTGAACTGCTGACCTTGCAGTTACCCGTACAGTGCTTAATCTACTGCGCCATACCAGTGATGGTGATGGTGGTTAAGTACCATGGAGTCAGTTCCAACTCATAGCGACCCTATACAGGGTTTCCGAGGCTGTAAATCTTTATGAGAGCAGAAAGCCTCATCTTTCTCCCGCGGAACGCTGGTAGTTTAGAACTGCTGACCCTGAGGTTGGCAGCCCGATCTCTCTAGGGTGTCTCTGAGTCGGAACCAACTTGCTGATCGTGAATTTGGGGATAAATCCCCCAGGGGCCCGGGTGGAGCTGTGGGTTAGATGTAGGACTGCTGACAGACTAGCCGCTTCACAGGAGAAAGTTGCGGATTTCTAGTCTCGGAAACTCTTTATGGGGTTCACTGGACTTGGAGTCGACTCAGTGGCAGTGGTTTGGGATTTGTGCATTAAAAAAACCAAACAAACAAAAAGACCCAACAACCCAGATCTGCCCCCACTCATGGTTGGGACTTTCCCAACCCTGGCCCCCCTCAAAAAAAAGAAAAAGAATTTGCAAACATCCTTTTTTGGGGGAACATTTTACTGTGGTTTGGGTGGAACTTTACAGAGCAAATTCATCTTCCTTTCAACAATGTGTACACGTTTCCTTTCCTGACATTGCTGCAGTCAGCAGCCTGAATGTAACAGCACTCTTCCCACATCCTCCCTGGCTCCCCAGGCCCATTCATCCTTCACCCTACCTCCTCCCCCCTGAGCATTGTGTTTGGGTAAATGCTCCCTAATGGGTCTCACATGGTTGGTGGTGTTACTCATTGGTGGTATTACTCACTTTGTGGGTCTAGTGCTTTGACCAAATGGTGAGTTCAGGTCCAGGTTTGAAGGGCTCTCAAGGCCATAGTCTTGGGGCTTCCACCAGTCTCTCTCACACCAATAACTCTGGTCATTTTGTTTTAAGTTTTTATTGTGATAGTTTACATGGGAGAACATTAGCTTTACATTCATCCTATCGAAGATCGTTTCATTGCCGTGGTTACAGTCCCCTCCATGCATCATCAACCAACCAAAGGGTATACCCCGCAAGCCTGCCTGCTGGTTTTCAGCACACAGCCCCT